CCGCGGAATTGGACTACATGTAAACTATTGCCGCGGGTTGTTTTTCCCCCAGCGGTTTAAAGGTTTGACATGGGTGCATCTAAATATTTTACATTATACCAATGATAATACTGCGCTAGATTATGAGTTTTTTTGTGAGGGAGCGGCCTGTGAGCTTCTGTTTTTGATTACTACTGGTGATTTTCGAGTTGAAATTATGTACAATGGATGACATTGACTGTATATGTATTTTAGGTATGAGTTTTGATATTTGGATAGGGCCACGGGGCTTGTTTGGGCTATTTTTGATATGGCCTTTGGGATGGTTTTGTTACAGAGCTAGCAACCCTGCAATATATACATATACAAACAACTTCCGGCGACACACATTACAGGAAGGCTACATGTCTGGTTACCATGGTTACAGCTGTTTAAACATTAAGGACGGCAATGGCCACATGCTAATTCGACTTAACGAGTAGCCTACATATGATTAATAACAATGTCCAAATCAAAGCTAGACCAACTGTACGAGTTCAATATGCAGAGGGAGACATGGTGTCGCGTGGAGACAACCAGTAGGTTCTGGAATTTACCTGAAAGGAAACACTTCCTTTGTCACCTCCAGAAAAGCTGCGACTTCAGCGCGCTATATGGCACACAAGCGTAATGGTAATTCAATTAGAATCCTTATCCAACCTGCTTGTTTTTGCTGACAGCAGGCGGAAAGGAGAAGCAGAATCCAGCCTGAACCCCTTCCATAGCAACTGATGGCTTGCCGGCAAAATTATGCAATAATGCTTGTCTAATCCCTAAAGACATAAAAGTAGAATTACGCAAGAAATTGTATGTGTATATATATATATATATATATATATATATATATATATATATATATATATATATATATATATGTATTTATTTATTTTTTTTAAAGCTTGTCTTGCCTCATTGTAAATCATTTTAAATCATATTGATTACCCCTTGGAAGTTTGCTAAGGACTTCTTTACTTTTTCTCACTTTATTAAATTCATTTCACATTCCTTAAAATTACTTCTCTAATTTGCATATAAACAATGTAATCAAAATAAGCTGAATGTTTTATTTTTGTTTGGTAAGTGTTAGGACATTTCATATAACATAACAATTATATAATATTCAAAAAATCCTGAGCGGTGTCTGTTGAAAATTGTCCAAAAAAGATAATATCTTATTTTACCTCCCCGACTGCAACAATATCAGCTCTGTACTTCTGGAACAAAGGAAGGAATGGCTCCAAGTCCTGTTAAAACAAAACTAATATTTTAGCACTAAAAAGTCACAATATAGCATATGAAGCATGGTAAACCTATCTTTCTATGTCATGTTATGTAATATTCACCCGAATCTTGACACTATGCCAGTCTTGCCCTGATCCTTGAAGGGGATGAATGCCAAAACAAGGGAACACAAAACCAGGATAGCTATATCAAAAACATGAAATATTAGTAAATCTGCATGTGTCCATTGCTGTGTAAGCACATGTGGTGTGTGTGTTCAGCTGGAACACGGTCATTCCAAACTCCTCAGTGAGAATGTTCTCATACAAAGCTTACGTTTCTGACAGCTGAATAACTTTCTCAAACTCACTGGCTCCCTCTGTAACTGACACAAGAGCTTTCAGTCCAGCCTAAAATTACATGAATTAAACAGAAGAGGTCAACAACTGTTGCAACATTAGAGTCTTGTTTGTCAGCTTTTATTGATTTGTCCTCTTAGGATTGACAAAAGCTTACCTTTTTAGCTCTCAAAAGGACATCATCTATATCCTAGAGAAAAACATTTAAAATCACTTAATATATAAACTAGATTCTGCAAACATCTGTGCAGATGATTTCTGTTTGGTGTGGCAACAAACCCCTTGTCTGCAATATAGTTTACATAAACACAATGATACTGACAACATAGCCTACAACAGTTTACATTTAATATTATATAATAGCATTTGTCTTTGATTTTATTATTGTAACTTCATCCGGCCAAAAAGTGGCCCAATTTATTATAAATTCTGTACTAATACTGTACTGTGCAAATCAATAAGATCACTCTGAACTACCTGCTGAAAACAACTTAAACCAGTTGAGACAAGCAAACCTGCTGAGGCTGGTTTAGGTGGGGTTTTTCTGTAAGGCTGTAGCACACATTTACACAGCGGTGATGGATCCGCTCATAAAGACATTGTGTTTATGGCTTAAAGATAAGAATTTCGCAATTTCTTACCTGTGTAAACTCATTTGCTGACAGGTGACAGTGACAGTCAATAAACCCTCTAGCCATGATGTTAGTGTATATAAAATATTCTGAGCACGTTTCTGTGTAAATTTGTAAATAAAACGTGTTGTTAAACCACTTGTTTTTATGATCTCTATGGCATTTTCTGTCCGTTCGGCGTCTTCACGATGGAGATCGGAACGTTTCTTCCGCTGTAGTGTTTCTCTCAGGATTTGTTTCGTTGTAACGAGGCTGAATTCAGCTTCTTATTAGGGACCGTCTCTATTTTTTCAGAAACGAACAATAAACAATTAAAAAATGTAAATAACACTAAGATAAGAGTGAAAACGGGCTATCAACATACGTTAATTATTGAACGTGCATGTCATCCTTTGAGTGCAGTAATGAAGGTTTTTTCTTTTTTTTAATCTAGCCTCTTATGAAGAGTTCGTATGACCCAGCACCTGTGAATTGAGGACTCCAGATACAAAATGATGACATTGACAGTTGAAGTCTAGTACAAATTATAGTATTGTTAATAAAGAATAACAATTGGTCCCTCTGTAAATTCTGTAAAGTCTCCCAAAGTGTAAATAAACGTCCGGGAAGTAAGAAAACACACAGTCAAATGTATCCTCAATACTTCCATTTATTCATAGAAATACAGATATTATATAGGCATATGTCGAGGGGAGTTTCACCCTCTTAACCAATGAGGATATGAATAACATACACATAGGATCTTTGGCCAAGAACATGTGTTTATATAAAATGGCCACATGTACTGAAAAACATGGACATATTAGGAATAGACTTTTGCGAAGAATGCTGAACTGTCTTCAGAGTTTCATCACGAACCTCATTCCTAGCTATCATGTCCTTATTTGGGACATTTGAACCAAGAGAAGCTAATGTATACATTTAAGCATGCATACTTCGCATATGAGTAAGAGATATTTAAAACATAATATCAAGAGAGAGAGATGGATACAGAAGGGGGGATTCAGAAGTATAGTACAAATGATAGTATTTACAAATACCGTATATGCATTTAAGCAAACTTTGTGTACATTTTAAAGCAATGAAAATGTCATCATTTTGTATCTGGAGGCCTCTATTCACAGGTGCTGGGTCATATGAAGTCTTCATAAAAGGCTAGATTTAAAAAAAAGAAAAAAAAGCATTACTGCACCCAAAGGATGACATGCACGTTTAATAATTAACGTATAATGTAATTAGACTTAATGTTAACATCCCGTTTTCGCTCTTATCTCAGTGCTGTTTACATTTTAAAATAGTTCATTGTTCGTTTCTGAAAAAGAGACGCGAATATAGATGGTCTCTAAATTGATTGCGTTTTTAAGGTGGAACGGATAAGAAGCTGAATTCATTAATAAACAGGATTTAAAGAATCACTACAAATTGTTTTTTATTTTTTTTATTTTTTTATTTTTTATTTTATTTATTATAATTTTTTTTTTTTAGTTTTTAGTTTTCCTTTAACGTCATTGCTCCACACTCCATCCTAGTAGGTGGCGGTAAATGCACCTAAAGCTGGTTTGCCAACCGCCATAAAACGTCAAAGAAGAAGAAGCTGAATTCAGCCTCGGTTCGTTGTAACACATTCTGCTTCCGTTTCCAGGAGTCATTTTGAAAAAGAAGCGATGCGGCAGTCATGGAGGCAGATCGTGAGAGCGGGGCAGATTTCAGAGTAATTGTCAAGTCGAAAAAACACGTTCGTGAACAGCTTGAAAAGTATAAAGACTTATTTAAAAAGTTGCTCGATGGCCAGTGCCACATTTCCGAGGAGGACAAAGCTAAATTGCTGCAAGAAATGGTTGTGGTAAGTCTAGTAGAAAAAAAAGAGATGCCAGTTCAATAATTTTTTGTCTTTATTAAGTGTACGATGGTTTTACTGTAGAAACACCATCTGTTTTACTTGTGGTATTTTTGTGGAAACCAATTATGGGAGTTATTTATGACATCGACGTCTGCTGCTGTTGTTGTTGTTTACTGTGTTTTTGTTTTTTCATTCACTTTATTTGTCTGTTTTATCATTTAGAACTTTGAATTCACAGTGCAAGAAAATCTAGTTATTGCTGGCTTGTCCTGGGACGAGGTGTCAGAGGATTATTGTGAAGGTAAGTTACTGTCAGTTTTAGAGAACTCATTACACTTTTTGCAAACCCAAGCCATGACATTATTAACCATTACTTTGTATGTTCAGACTATGACAGCACAATAAATGACATTCTGGATGAGAAAATAGTAGAGACCGCCTGCAAACGCAACTCTTACCCAAAGCAAATGCGCAACCAGGTTGTGCGATCATTAAGAGCAGAGAGGAAACTTCTGGTGAGACATGTTTATTTATATATATATATATATATAACACACATTTCCATTCATTAATTCATCCATACATACAGTTTAAATCAATCACAAACAAATCAGGTATTCCGTAATTGAAACAATAATATTACAAACTTCAAATATTAATAAAGATATTAGTCTTTATAGGATTTTATTTATATTTGAAACTAATTATCTTTGGGAACACCTATCGGACAAAGTAAATTAGTTAAACGTTTAGTTAAAGGGGTCATATGATGCTATTTTAAAAATCATTATTTTGCATATTTGGTGGAACAGAATATGTTGACATGCTTTAATGTTCAAAAAACACATTCTTTTTCAAATACTGTACATTATTGTAGGTCATAATCTACAACCTCTCTCAAACGCGTCGTTTTCAACAAAGCCCCCTCCTTTGACAAGCACAGTCTGCTCTGATTGGCCAGCTGACCCAGTGCATTGTGATTGGCCGAACACCACAAGCACGCGTCGGAAATGTAACGCCCCTTACCATAATCGTGAGCATCAGCTTTCAAAGTAAATATCAAGACAGTTACTAATGTCGTTAGTTATACCATCAGTTCAAGCCGAAAGGGCAACAGAGTCGCGTGACAGACACAGTGATGATGCAGTACACAAGCCGCGGTTAAGACAGCTGACGTGTTATGATTTCTGACAGACAGTTCACTCTCCTGTGATGTGACCCTGTTCCCCTCACACACACCCACACGCATGACACGCAAATACTTAAACTAATAACAAAACATACAGTACTTATAGTCGCTGATTCCGAAGCGCCAGATTGTCATAGCAAAGTCGGAAGTGGCCCCCCTTTTTTATTTTTTATTTATTTATTTATTTATTTTTATAGAAATGGCCTTTGTGCATATCCAGCCTTGTACTCTTCTAGGTTAAAAAAAACTGTCGTCCATAAAATGCGTTGCACAAATTCGAACATCTGGGTTGTGCTGTTCTGTTGTAAATAAATCTTAACCAATGATTCCTAATTGCATCTACTTCCGGAAGGCCAAATAAAGTGCATTTGCTTTCGCACTGAAACACAGCGTCTCCCTGACATGGCTGCATCAACACGACTGCTGTTCCTGAAACCACGCCTTCTTTCTTTGCGTGCACATTTGGGCGGCATTATGCTAATATTTCCACATAGTGACATAGATATGTGGGGGGACGTGTTAGAACGAGCCATTTTAGGTAGGTGTTGCTGACTCTTAACTTTTATAAAGAATATCTCTTTGGATTTGAGACGTTAGTCTTTGCAACTTTACAGATCATCTTTATGGACCAAGAGCTTGTAACACTCCAAAGAGAAAGGAAAACTTAAAATCGCATCATATGACCCTTTAAAATTGTACATGTTCTACTCCTGGCCACTAGATGTCACAATATATGCTATCATAATATTCTTTTACGATTTTGAAATTTTAGGTGTTCAACCTCTGGCCACTAGATGTCATAATAAAACACTATTGTGTTTGTTGGATTAAAAAGTACAGTATACTTTGGTGTTTTTTCAGAGAACAGCTCAGTTTGATTTTTTAGAAGACCTAAATGTTGTTGCGTGAATGTAACTTATATGCTTTTTACTGTTGATCTATTATTTTAGGGTTTGTATGAACAGGCAGTGAAGCCACAAAACCTAAAGCCAGACCCAGCTCAAGGTGTGTGTGCCTTTCTTTTCTTTTCTTAGCAAAAATGCATAATTTGTACAACTGTGCTTTACGCAGTGGTTGTTACTAGCTCTTAAACATTTTTTTACAGACACTGTCATCAGAAATGTATCAGCTGCTGCACCTGCAATGTTCAAACAAGCCAGTACAGTTATGAAGGTATAAATCTATTTTAATTACGTTTTATTTAATTACGACCATTTTATTGTCTAATAATTTTAAGTATACCAGTGAGATGAAAGTCTCATTACCATAGACAAAAAAGAATGTATTATTCTTAACATGCCCCATTTTCCTTCATTCTGTTCAGTCTCTGAAAAGTCTGAAGCAGGTAGCTGAGGGCTTGCGTCAAGTACTTGACATGCAGCCTTCAGCGGAGTCGGTGGAAATCTACAGTGAAGTGTTTGGCAGCTCAGTAGGAGATGTCTGTCCAGACCTTCACCACAGACTTCCCTCCACCATCAAAAGAGCTGCGTCTGATTCAGAATACAGTGCAGACTATGTACCTGCTCCAAAAACCATCCAAATGACTGATGCAAATTAATGTTTATCTCTGTGTGTGTGTGTGTATGTATCATTTTGTGTGGGAATAGAGAAGGGCAGTATGGGAGTATTGTATTGACACCTGTTATTAGATAAGTGTTTTGTATGTTGTTTCTTACCCATATAATGTAAATAAATATTCAAGAAATACTTTGTGCATATAGTTAAAAATGAAAAATAAGTGCTACACCAATTTCTTTTTCCATTACAATAAATAGCTTTTTTTAGAGAACTATTGTGCTGATGTGGTCCAGGTACATACCACAAGGTGTTGTTGGTCTACCAGCATTGGTTTCCAAATACTGGCACTGAACACCGTTTTTATTAAACAAATGAGCCAATTAAACATGGACTAACAGGGCCCTTTTTGTATCATAAGTGAACAATGATTAAAAAAAAAAAATTCTAAACACATTTACAAATATCTTGTGTATATAGGACAATATCTTGTATAACTGCCAAAATGTGTTAAGTAAACTGATTGATTAAATTCTACTTCTGATAAACTTACTATAGTGTCACTTTGAGCGCAAGACTAGAAATGGCCAACAGTGTTGGGGGTAACGCATTACAAGTAACGCGAGTTACGTAATCAGATTACTTTTTCAAGTAACTAGTAAAGTAACGCATTACTTTTTAATTTACAAGAGAATATCTGAGTTACTTTTTCAAATAAGTAACGCAAGTTACTTTGTTTTTCCAATTTATTGATTGACAGCTCTGTTGTCGCCATGTTGAGAGAAATCAGATGTTACTGTAGTTCTAAAATAAATATGAATATGCATTAATTCATCTCACTCACAAAAAAACACAGATTCAGTATTCCTCAAAATTAATCAAAAATCATGCAACTCAGAATATGACGCAAACCTGCAATAATTAAATGTTAAACACAAATATCCTTTATGCATTTAATCCCATTCTATTTTAACCAATGTCTTTGCTTCTGACCTTCGATGATCCAGTTCAACCATACTAATATATTTGCCAAAAATATAACTTTTTTATTTTAAAAACAAATAAGCAAGCCCTGCCCAGATTTTAAAAGTAACGCAAAAGTAACGTTACGCATTACTTTCCATAAAAAGTAACTAAGTAACGTAATTAGTTACTTTTTTATGGAGTAACTCAATACTGTAATGCATTACTTTTAAAAGTAACTTTCCCCAACACTGATGGCCAAGCTGTGAAACTGTCAATCATATTACCTTTTGTAATGCATAACCATATACGACCATAGGCTATTAACGTTAGCCCACTTGATTTTACTCATAAGGACTTTCATTGCCTGATTAAAAAATTAAACAAAGCAAGCTTTCAGAAATCACCTTTTCAAAATGGAAAAGAGAGTCATTTCTAGGAATGACCCAAAAGCGTTAAAAATACAAAAACACTCGCTCCGCCTGAAGTTATTGGAGTTTTCGAGAGCACCACGTGACTTCAAAGAACATCCGCCGAAGGCATTTGCAAGAAATGTTACTGAGGGATGTTGACTGACAGTGTAAACATGCCTAACTATGCGCTAATTAAAACGACATAATAGTTCGCCTTAATTTTCCATCAAATTTCGTGAACGGAAGTCTTTATTGTGCTCGTGCTCTTTTGCACCTGTCATGTCACTTTTCAGTGCGACAAGTAACTTTACACGAAATGATGCTCCAGATTTTCAGTTATTTCGAAAGAGTGAGGTATGTGAGGCTTCTTTATTCTTGTTTCATTTTCTCTACTACAAAATAAGTTTATAACCTAAAATAAAAAATATGCCTAATTACTAATATGCATTCTATAACAGATGCATTCTCATCTTTCTGATTTGTGCCACCCAAAATGATTTTGTGGTTTACTGTTTGTGATTTGTTCTGTTGTAATGAGATAATCCTGCTCATTAATGTTCAGGAAACAACATATCATAACAACCATAACATATGATTGTGCTTCAGAGCTCTGATGATGAAGAGAAAAGGTCGAAAAGAAGAGAAAAGAACCGAGTTGCTGCACAGAGGAGCCGTAAAAGACAAACTCGGAGAGCTGATGAGTTGCATGAGGTTTGCAAGCTGCACATTATATAGAATATAAAAGATGTTGATTTCAGCATTTGTACTTTTCAGTAAATTTGCAGGTAGAATGATTATTTGCCCCATGAAGACATATGATGGTAATTGTGGGCAGACATTGGAAAATTCATCAAATGCTCATTGATGCATATGATTGATGTGTTTTTTTAACATACTGAAATGTTCTGTAACCAGGCATATGAATGTATGGAACAGGAGAACAGCCTGCTGAGGAAGGAAGTCCAGCTTTTGTTAGAGGAACAGCGACGCTTGACAGATGCCCTCAAAGCCCATGAGCCTTTGTGCCCTGTCTTGAACTGTGGTATGACCTCAACATCAAGGTCCACAGGCACAATGTCACCCGAGTTTATGTCTAGATAGAGTCGCTTACATTTGATGCTCATGATGTCCGAATTTCCATTTAAGGATAAATGAAGTATACTTGTAAACATGCAAGGTATTTATGCATACTAGCAGCATGCAAATTGTATTTTTTTTTATTCTGAAGTATTAGCTTTTGAGTTCAGTATGCAGTGTTTTCTGTCAACATACAAGTGAATGATTAAGTCATGCTTGAAATTGCATTGTAACAGGTTATGTTCAGAATACAGGATCTTTGTAGTCATATATGTTTGTTTTCCCAGGGTCACGCCTCATGTGAATACATCCACTATTTACTTTGATAGAGTCAGTAACCACTAACTAAACCATCTGTTATACCACAGTTAGTTGGCTGTGAATGAACGAAATGCGACAATGGACTTCTGCTTTATGAGAGCCAATCTGACCAAAATACCAGAGGTTAGTTTCAAAAGTCTGTGACAGCAGGTTTATGTCTGCATAATATTATTAACCATAACAGCTTAATTCAAATGTTAGTGTTATTTTATGTCTTGCTTGATCCTGTTTTGCTGTTGGAGTGTATTGTAAGTATTAGAAAAATAAACAATTATTTAAAAAAACCACTCTTGTGTATTCACTCTGTGACCCAGATGCAGATTGAAATCCAGTAATCACTCAAATAGAAATAGTCATACAATTTCTATTAAAATGAGGTCACCAAATCAGAAAAAGGAGCCGGATGTCTAGTTTTTTTTCTCATTTGTGTTGAAACCATATCTGGGGGTGGTCAGATTTTTTTCCTGAATGTATCACTTCCTTAAACCTCTGTGGGCTTACCTTCCTAACCAGTGCAGGGTACACAGTTCTACATTTCTCTTCCAGTTTTCTCTTCTCTTCTGAAAAGTCCTAGAGCTCAACACGAATCTGTTGACTTTCGTTTTAAAACTTTAAAGCCAAAAAGCACTGTTAGAGAATGTAAAAAAAAATAAAAATAAAGATCATGAAACAGTTCATTTTAGTATGTTCATTATAATTGTTTATTCAAGCAGAAATGCAATTGTTCAGAAAGGGTTGTGTGTAAAGCATATAGTTTCCACAGAAAATAAAATTGCTTTAGTTGGGGCTTGACAAAATGTATGCAGCACACAAGTTTTAATCGCAGTTCTGTATTTCATAGCAATTTTAACAATGCATAGCTTTGTAGTAGTACATACGAGTCTTCTGGTATGTATAGTGCGGGAGAACTTGTGAATGTAACACCAGAATAAACTTTCCAGCCACAAAGCTCTGTAAAAATGTCTTCCTTGGATGATTTTTTATTTTGGAGCAGTATAGAGAGTGAGAGAGAGAAATTTATTAATTCATTATATCAGAAGCACATATCAGAAGTACATATACATATCTTGGATGAAAGGAGGTCTTGCAGTCAAAATGTTGAGAACCAGTGCTTCATAGTCATACATTCATATACAGTATCTCACAGAAGTGAGTACACCCCTCACATTTTTGTAAATATTTTATTATATCTTTTCATGTGACAACACGGAAGAAATTACACTTTGCTACAATGTAAAGAAGTGAGTGTACAGCTTGTATAACAGTGTAAATTTGCTGTCCCCTCAAAATAACTCAACACACAGCCATTAATGTCTAAACCGCTGGCCACAAAAGTGAGTACACCCCTAAGTGAAAATGTCCAAATTGGGCCCAATTAGCCATTTTCTCTCCCCGGTGTCATGTGACTCATTAGTGTTACAAGGTTTCAGGTGTGAATGGGGAGCAGGTGTGTTAAATTTGGTGTTATCGCTCTCACTCTCTCATACTGGTCACTGGAAGTTCAACATGGCACCTCATGGCAAAGAACTCTCTGAGGATCTGAAAAAAAGAATTGTTGCTCTACATAAAGATGGCATAGGCTATAAGAAGATTGCCAAGACCCTGAAACTGAGCTGCAGCATGGTGGCCAAGACGATTCAGCGGTTTATCAGGACAGGTTCCACTCAGAACAGGCCTCGCCATGCTCAACCAAAGAAGTTGAGTGCACGTGCTCAGCATCATATCCAGAGGTTGTGTTTGGGAAATAGACCTGTCAGTGCTTAGACCATACGCCAAGGTCTCTAACATCCACCAGCTCCATGATGTCGTCATGGAGGAGTGGAGAGGACTCCAGTGGCAAACTGTGAAGCTCTGGTGAACTCCATGCCCAAGAGGGTTAAGGCAGTGCTGGAAAATAATGGTGGCCACACAAAATATTGACACATTGGACCCAATTTGGACATTTTCATTTAGGGGTGTACTCACTTTTGTGGCCAGCGGTTTAGACATTAATGGCTGTGTGTTGAGTTATTTTGAGGGGACCGCTGTACACTCACTACTTTACATTGTAGCAAAGTGTCATTTCTTGAGTGGTGTCACATGAAAAGATATAATAAAATGTGAGGGGTGTACTCACTTCTGTGAGATACTGTACACATATTTAACTAATTAAATCATACATGATTGGCAACTGTTATCTCTGCTTCAAAGTTTACATATGTTTTTGTTTCCTTGGTTGATTTGGTGCAATATTACAAAACATCTGCAACGTTTGCATCAATGAAATGTTAGCTGCATCAAGACAAGCAGAAATGAGAGTCCAGTGCATGTCCTGCAACTCAGCGTCTATTTATGTTATAACTGTAATAATAATGTGTGGATAATGGATAAGCTCTAAACCTTCTGTTGTAAAAGTGGTGTCTTAAGCATTCTGGCTTTCTGTGTGTTTACCCTGCAAAAAACAACAACAGAACAATAGAAACCATCATAGAAATTCAAATGGTTTCCACTACAAATACCATTACAAACCATCAACTTTTAACCATTAAAAATGGTTTTCTGTAGTGTGTTTTGGGACATGTTCCATTAGGATTTAATGGTTTTAACAAGCCAACAATAGAAGGTGACCATTACCAGTAGAAACCCACAGGGTCCATTACTCTTTCTAATAAAACCTATCATATAAAAATTATTCTCATCATAACCAGTACAACCAT